ATGCCACTGTATAAATCCAAGGGACACTGATGCTTTGAATACTGCAGGCAGACCTGGTCGCCCCCTCACAACTGGAAAAGGTACAGAGAAGGGCAACAAAAACGATCAGGGGGATGGAACAGCTTCCGTAGGAGGAGAGACTGAAGAGCCTGGGACCATTCAGCTTGGAACAGACACAACTGTGGGGAGGAGGGGGGAAGGGGCTGAGATAGAGGTCTATAAAATCATGACTGGGGTGGAGAAAGCAAACAGGGAAGCATTATCTTCCCCTTCACAACACGGGAAGCAGGGGTCCCAATTCAATTGATAAGCAGCAGGTTTAAAACAAAAGGGAAGGAAACAGACAGTGCAGCCTGTTAGTTAGGATCCTGCTTCCGCCAGTGGCTCTGAGCTAGCAGGTGCTGACCCTCCCGGACCGAGCTCTTGCTCCCGTGGAGAAGTGGGCTTGGAGATCGGGAGAAAGGGGAACGGGAAGCCACTCACTTTGTCTAAGTTATCCACTGCCACTGGTTCAGTCTTACCCAACTGAGGCTATTCCTTGCTGGGTACAATCCACCCAGCCGATGTTAAAGCAGCTCTAGCCAGCCCCGTCAAAAGCAATAGCTTCAGATACAGGCTACATGACCTGGCAACGCTGGCTTTCCTCAGGCAGTGAAGAGAGGCGCTTCTACGCTGCTATCATAACCAGGATGGAGCGAGAGGAAAAGGCACTGTTACTGTGCATCACCCCACAGGGGTGCACTGCACAGAACAGAGACAGTCCCTGCCCCAAGGCGCTTACCATCCCGATGGCTATTTGCATGCCAGTCGGGCAACTGCCACCAGTACACGTATGGTTAACGTGGACCAGCCCAAGTACAACTCCTGAGGAAGGGAACGTTTTATTCCCCCATCAAGTAAGGAACAACTCAGGCCAGGCCAGGCCAGAGTTTCTACAGAGCTAAACTCTACCTGTACAAGCATCTGTGCTCCTAGGTCAGTTTTGTATAACTGGGGCATGGGATGGGGGAGGGAGTTGCCAGGGCAGCAGATTGGTGCCAACACACACACACACACACACACACACAGAGTCTGTTGTGCCTGTCAACTAAGCTCTCCGCTGCGGGGACAAACAGAGCCATCTTCTGGGCTGCGTGGCCAGTGACATCGCAGCTGGGCCGGCATTCAGACCTGGTGAACAATGGGAAAAAATGCCAGCTTTGTGCTAGGACGCTGAATAAAGGGAGCCCCTCTCGGGTGCGCACACAGCGCCTGGCTCTTCGATTTCCTCCCCCCCCACGTGCAGAGCAGCCACATGGACACAGCCACCAGCAGCGACGCCGGGAGGAGATTCTACAGCCAGGACAGGGCCAGCTCTGCACCTCGCCCTGTCCGGCACGTCCGACCGATTTCCGACAAACGCCCCCTCGCATTCTTGCGGAGCGGAGCCCGGAGAACAGGGCCTCAAAACCCCTGGGACAAATTGATTCCTGGCCTGCAGCCAGCGAGCCCTCTGAAGTCTCCCCACACAGCTAGCAACAAAGGACGCTCTCTGCCAGGCCTCGCAGAACTTGCCAGCTCCCCTCTCCTCTGAGTGCCTTTGGCTACGTGGAGCAGATTGGTTAAGGATGCCCTGGATACAATGGGGCAGCTCCTCCCGCCCACCACAGCTCAAGACAGACGCTCAATTCAGGGGCAGCCAGTTGGCCTTTCCCAGCTCCGAGGCTCCTTTCCCAAAGGGTTCCCTATAAGGCTGCGTCCTGATTCCCTGAAAACGCCAGCCCAAGTCACTAGGCTGCTGTCCAGGGCATACTGGTCCATTACTGGGGCTCCCAGACAACAGTAATAAAAACAAACGCAGAGCGGCATCTCGCCGAGATGCGCTGGTAGACCGCATGCAGACACCCCATTTCTAAGCCTGGGGTTTGGGCCCATGTCTTGCCTCTAGAGAGGAGTCTTTTCTCTGCACTGGAGAAAAAAAACAAACCAAAACAGCTTATTTGCTAAGAAGTGTTGTCCGAGCCCGAGCGGGCCTCAGCATTTAACTGATTGCAGTTTAAGCTGGTCATACATGTATTTTTTCAGAGAGAAATCCAGCTCCTAATTGGACATATACTCGTACGTTCCATGCATGGACACATTTATTATTTGTATCAGTGTAGCATTTATGAGACCGCCATGGGTCAGCACCCCACTGTCCTAGGCCCTGTACAAACAGAACAAAAAAACCCCCACAGTTCCTGTCCCAAAGTCCTGCCAATCTATGTAGAACCCAGAGCTCCAGCTCAGTACCTTATCCACCAGATCTTGCTGTCTAATAACTCTGCCCTATTTGATCAGGGGGGAGGGACCCCTACAGCTTCTAGTAGGCCCACTTGGCAGGCGAGGGTCCCCATTCAAGGCTTACGTTCCTCACTGATTGTTTGCAGAGGTGGAAGAACAAAAAAGGCAAACACCAGTCAAGGAGCTTTAAACACCAAACACCTGGCACCCCAGACAGCAGCTGGCCCAGTGTGTGTCCACCAGCCCTGCTCTCCCCAGCCACCTATGCAATTTGCCATCCTCAACATGCAGTTTGTGTTCCTTAAATAAACCCCTAGGCTGAAGGTTTGTTGGAGGAGGAGGAGGAGGAGGAAGAAACACACACATCTGCTCCTTCTCCCCAGCCTGCATCACTGCTCAATCCCGACTTGCCATTGGCAAGAGGAAATGAATGGTATCACGGCATCGCGAAGAGAGCTGGAGGCAAGCGGCGAGGAAGCCTCCAGCAGAGGAGGAGCGCGAGCGTGAACGCTCTCCCTATTGCAAGCCACCAGCAGGATCCGGGAATGTCAGTGTCCCCGGGGCACCGCTCCATGGTGAGCTATGACACCATGTCTACTAGGAGCGGAGGAGGACTCCCTTCATAACTCACATTCCATATTTTTTGAAGATTGAGCAAGTTCAGCTGTTTCCTTCCCCACCCTTTGGGAACGAGGAGTTGGATTTATCCTCTACTCGGCCGTCCAACACACACTCACACAGAGTCAGACAGCCCAGCTGCTGCAGAGATCCATCTCGGCACTGGATTTGGCTCTCCATGAAGAGATCCCTGATGCTCAGGACAAGCTATAACCAGGTCATGCTAATGGAGCAGGCTTGTGCTTGAAGTGAGGGGCCGCAGAGAGGCGTTTGGTTTGCCACGCTTGAAGGAGATCCAAGAGCTTTAGCGAAGCTGCCCCTTTGGCTCACAGGGACACTGTTTTACCCCGTCCATTAAAGGCAGAAAGTAGCAGCATGGTGGGAAAGCCACTTCCACCACAGTTGTAGACAGATGCGCTAGCCTAGCAGGAGGAGAGGACAGCATGGCAGAGCTCGGGCGAGGCGAGGCTCGGCTCACTGGTATCAGATGCGAGGCTGCCTTTTGGTCACTGCCTCCACATCTGCCCCTACCCACAAACTCGTTTCTAGAACCACTTTGCCAAGCCAAGGCCCATATGCGGCCACTGGGCTATTTATCAGAGGGCCGGTTGCGATGCACTGAGTCGGAAACATCACCCGCCCTGCTAGATGAGGAAAAAGCTATGCTCCTGCTGAGAGCTGGAGGATCAACTCTGAGTCACTGCTCCGCACAGGCAGCTGATTGCAGAGGCTGGAATCTTGGCAAGACCTATTTTCAGCAACACCCATACAGGGAGAGGGCGGGCGCTCCCACCCGCGCACCCTCTCTGGAGCACAAGCAGCCTTCCCCACCCCAACCTCAAACTTGGCCCATGCAGCCATGACTTCACTTCCCACCCCCAAGGTGTGGTGACTAACCCTTATGGAACAACACCCCTGGGAAGGAGGTAAAACAGGGATGATGGTGTTAACAGATGGGGAAACTAGAGGCACAAGCGAGGACCCATGAATGAAGGGATCTGTCAGAGCTAGGAGGTCCTGGGCTCCAGTTCTGTGCTCCAACCACTACCTCCAATGTAGACAGCTGGAGAGGTAGTAGGTTAAGATCTACACCCTCTCCACACATATGCCTTACCCAGATACTGGCTGTCCTCCCACCCACCTCGAGCCACTCTGCTCCATCCCCATCCCCTCCACGCTCACCTGCCAAAAAAGGTGGGAACAGAACAGCACCCATGTTTTCCAAGTTTTAGATATGTATAAACAACCCACACCCACAAGAAGCCAGGTAGTAGCAAACTCACATGTACAGCAAGAACACACCCATTCGCAGTGGGTTACAATGCTCAAGACACAGCCTAGCCATGCTTCCAGGAGGGCTATGCAGAGTCCTTCAGAGCTACATGCTCTGCAGCCTTCGGCCCTGGGCGGGCACAGAAGGGAAGCAGTTAATCCAGGCCTTAAGCTTGGTTGCAATCATGGCTGCGAGATTTTGCAGAGACAAGAAAAGTAACTGAAAGTTCTGTGCCATAAGCCTGACTTTTCACTCTCCTCTGGACAATGCAGTCAGCCAGGGGCCGAGCCCCAGGACATCCGCTGGGAAGCTCACGCTACTCGAAGCTATTTCATGGGACAAGAAACCACGCTGTCCCAACCAACACAACAGGCTTTCAGCCAGAGATTCCAGTTTTCAAAGCTGCAGATGAGCTACTGTGTCGAGATCAGCTGCCATACTGATCCTGGAACCGCAGTGGGCTGGGCTGAAATACAGCCCAAGCGTAGAATGGTCCCAACACCTTCCCAAGCCCGTAAGGAATGCTTCTGTCTGCGCCAAGGCTGGATCACCGCCCCCCAGGTCCCAGCTGCTTGGCCAGCAAGGTATTTTGAGACACCATATGAAATGCTTAGTTAGCACCTACCAAGGGGAACAGAGCAGACCAAGCCAGCGTCCACAATTAGCCAAAGAGTTTGAATGAGACCAACACAACCCTGGAGCCATGTGCAGCAGCCATATCAGGCCCGTGCGTAGCTGGACGGTGGCCCACGAGCTACAGCAAGTTTGCCCCCCAGCTGGCAGGAGGCGACCTTACCTTCCGCCCTTCTCCAGAGAATCCCACGAGAGAGTGGCCCAGAAAGGATACATTTTCACAGCTCCCGATTTGGTGCCAACGGCCATAATTCGCAGCTTGGGGTCGTAGGCCAGAGAGCTCGGCTGGTTGGGGAACCCATGTTCCACAGTCTAGGAGGAAGACGAAGAAATGGGACAGCGTCACACGCCACGGAGTTCAGCGGTGCGAGACTGACTCGCTATGAGCCTGCGGAGACGGTGGCAGCTCAGGGCCCATCCCAAAGCCTTCGCCCGGAGCTGCCTCCACGGGCTTGGACAGCGCGCGCACAAAAGACATTCCGTGGCATCCCTATTTACGGGGCCCACGAAGATCTCGCAATTTACGTGCCACCCTTCCCTGCAATGCTGGGGAGAAGGGGGAGGGCCTCATGCTCACTTGCTGCTCGGAGACCGACTCCCCCTTGAGCACCTGCCTGAAAGTCTTTTTACTAGGGTATGGCAGCGGCGCCAGGCAGTTCTGTTGCCCCATTGCCCCGGTGGGCTGGGCAAGGGCCACATGGGCTACAGCCTCACCTAACATTCCGAGCCCTTGGCCAAGCCTGAGCCGTGGCATTGTCTGAAAACGGCCAGATGTCGCCTTCCCCACTCCTCAGAGAGGGACCTGTGTTGTGACGACCCCTACAGGGCTCAGCCAAGGATCAGGGCCCACTGGGCTTGACAGGGTCCAGAACGTGGGAAGCAGGCCTTGCCCCAGACACAGACTGGCAGGACCATGACAGGGAGACAGTAGGTCCAATCTCCCCACAGCTTGTAACCTGCAGCCAAATTTAAGAGCCACGGCTCAAGACTCCTTGCAGCTACCGAGTCCCGGGACGTCCCTGGTGGGGAGGGGGGGGCGCTAATCACTGTGCGTCCCACTGACTTCATCAAGGCCTTTTGAACGGCCTGCATGCGCCGTAACCGGGAGGCAGCACCAGATTCGCCGCGGCTCCGGCCCCAGCCTGATCTTTGCAGCGGGGATTCCCAGCACTGGATAGACAGCACCACTCCTTAGACAGCTGGCAGTCTTCTATTGCTGGCCACAGCTTCCTTTCAGGAAGGTTAATAAGAGTCGACGCAGCCCACACAGTGCAGGTGCAGCCTCCCTTCGCGTCGCTCCCACCCCAGCGGCCTCCTGGAAGGCCATGGTTTTAGGAGAAGTGGAAGGGAGGAAGAAGAGAAAAGACTAATCAGGCTTGGCTGGAAGAGCCGCCTGGAGCAACCGCTCCCTCCCACCTCCCCTGAGCAGTCCCAGCAGTGCTCCATCCAAGGACTGGGTTTTTGTTTTGTTTTTTTCAGGACCAACGTGCAAGCATCCGAATTCCAGCTCTCTCTCTCAAGTGTCAGGGTCAATCTGAGCACAGTACAGGAAGAGAATGAATCTTAGATCTCACTCAGCAAACACTCCCTGCTTCCCCTCACAGCCGCTTGGCAATCCGTGTGCAGCTCTGAACGCGACCACCCAGGGAATATATTCCTTACCCACAGAATGGAGTCCCCTGCAGCCAAGCAGAGGTGGGCAGTGGGATATGGGCCTTCTACTAGGTACCCGCAACCAGAGCTAGGGGACAGCCCAGCATAAGGGCTGGCTAAAGGGAGGACTCCTCTTAGCAACTGGATCTAGATTATTGGATGAACTTCAGTCACCTGCCAACTCAGAGAAACAGAGGATGTTTTTACATCAAAAGTGTTCATAACGGACAAGTTATCCAGGAAGCGATGTCAGCAAGAGACCCTATTACAGGCGCAGCATACAGACCGGTTAATTCCTCCTATCCCAAGTGAAGGAAGCTCATTCTGCCTCCAGCACCCCTTTCCCTAATGCTCACGGGCAGGACCCATCTCACCAAGCAGGGGCATTTAATACTTGGCATTTCCAAGGCACCTCACACAGAAGGCTCTCCCCAGCGCTTCGCAACTGTCTCTAGGACTAAGGCCATGCCTATACGTACAGTGACACTGCAGCCAGCTATGCCACTGCGGTGCGTCTGGTGAAGACGCTCTATGCCGATGGGAGAGAGCTCTCCTGTGGGCATAAAAAACCCACCTTCGCAAGTGGCAGACGCTGTCCCACCGACATGGTGCCATGCACACGAACACTTATGTCGGTGGAACTTACATCGCTCGGGGGTGGTGGCATAGTCACACCCCTGAGTGACATACGTTTTGCTGACATAGTTTGTAGCGTAGACATAGCCATATCACCACCATATGGCCTGTAGGATCTTCCCAACTGCACCTTCCACACACAGACTCAACTCTTGCGTCCACTTAGCAGATCTTAACCGCCTGCTTCCTCGTGGAACATCTGTCACCCACAGCAGCCAAGTGCCCCTTTTAAAGCAAAAGTATTTTCTCCAACAGTACGTAGCGGGGAGTTAGATGAGGACCAGACTAGAGGATGCTCTTGTACAAAAGAAAGGCCAGAAACATTTTTTTTGGTAAACTTACAGTCCAAGGACAACTAAATTTTTAAATACACGATCAGATTATAACAAGGCAGCTTGAGAGGTAGTGGGAGAAGTTTACCAGAAACCTGTCAGAGGATGGCTTGGCAAAAACCCTTGAGAAATCAGTGATCAGCCCCATCTTAAACACACCACTTGTTCTGAAGACCATGCGCTGCACAGACACCAGCTGCAGCACAAGCAACTAGGTTCCCCAAAATCTCAGCCCCACATGGTTACTCTGCAAAGTAGCAACACAGAACAGACTCGGGATCTCGTCATGGTAAGTACGAATCGTAAAACCGCTGATTTGCTAGTGGCTGCTGGGCCTATTCTGGCATTTAGAGACCCACAGATCTCCTTACGTGCAGGATATTCTGAAACAGCACCACACACAAGGTTAGTGGAAAGACTGAAATGCCATGGGAACAACTTAATGCTCTAGCCCGATGAAGGCCAGGTTTGGGGACTGGGTCTGTATGCCAGCAGGGGCTTCACACCCTGGACAAAGGGATACCTTGTCACCTTGCTCTTGAGGATGCACTGGACGTGATATCGCCAAAATTCTCCTGGGAACAGGGCTGGGGCCAGCACTAAAGTTTGCCACGTTCTCAAGTGGAGAGTTCCAGTGAACAGCAGTCAGGCAAAGGCGATCCAGGGAGTAGGACACGTGTGCCCTCTCTCCCACCCTAAAAGATAGCAATCAGATAGCTTCGAAAGACTTGGGTGCCAATGTTACTCCTCCTGTGGGACACATGTGTACAGCTAGCCTGTCATCACCAAGCCAGACAGCTCTAGGCTCCCTGCTGTCAAGCCACCCAGATTTCTTAAGCTAAGTAGGGCAGGGCCTGGTGACTGCTTGGATGACACCAAGGAAAACAGATTCTGCAGCATCGGCTATTAACATGGTTTCTGCTGCTAGTGCTCAGAGTCAGTACTGCACCCACTGTCCCTAGTGCTGGCCTACGCTGAAGACACAGTCCATGGGAGGAAGAAGGGGACAGGAGTTGTATCCTCTGCAAGCCAGAGGAGTCACCAAGTATGAAGCAAGGGTTTGGAATGCAGGCTCCTTGGAGCTAGACTAGAGCCAGCAGACCCGCCATTCAGCCCCAGGGCACTGTACAAACCACACTCCCTCTGCACCTTCCATCCAAGGGTCTCTAGTGCTTTGCAGCTATCAGTTCGCCCCCAGCCCCTCTGGGATGTGGGTCTCCATTCTGTAAATGAGGATACACCAAAGACGGGCTAAGTGACTTGCCAAAGGTCTCAAAGCGAGTAAGTGGCTGAGCCAGGACAGTCTTTGCTTTAACTACTCAACTGTTTTGCCAGAAGAGGAGCTCAAACACATGGGCTGGAGGTAGCCAGTGTAGGACACCAACGAGCTACTCATAAGTAGCGAGTGACATTTACAGCCCTCAACACCCTTTCTCACAGGGGAAGCGTCACCCACCGTCTAGGTCGGGAACAGCGGCGTAGAGAGGAGGTTGACGTGCCCAAGGTCATAGGACAGCATGAGTGCAAGGAATTCAACCCAGCTCTCCCAAGTCCCTTGCACAAGGAAATAATTCATTGTTCCCAACAAGACACGGCACAGTCACAAGGGGTGAATGGAAAGGAAACATTCACAATTCTCCTACATGAAGGGCTATGGGATCCCCTGAGCCCACACAGGACAGAAAGGATTTGGTATCACCACTGAAATAAAATGGGTATGCAGTTCCCTCTGTAACCAGAGGCTTCACCTCCAACTCCCCTGGAGGGGAATGGCGCACAGTGGTTAGGCCCCAGAAGACCCAGGTTCAACTCCTTGCTCTGCTACAGACTTCCTGTACAACCTTGGGCAAGTCACTTAGCCTGTGCACCACCTATAAAATGACAGGTTTCAGAGGAGCAGCCGTGTTAGTCTGTATCCGCAAAAAGAAAAGGAGGACTTGTGGCACCTTAGAGACTAACAAACAAAGCTTATGCTCAAATAAATTTGTTAGTCTCTAAGGTGCCACAAGTCCTTTTCTTTTTACCTATAAAATGGTCATTAATATTTCCCTACGTGCAAGGACAGATGCACAGAAGACTGCAAGGTGCTCATATATTATGGGAATGGGGATCATATAAGCCCCTAAGACACATCACTGCATAGAGCAGGGGTGGGCAAACTTTTTGGCCTGATGGCCACATCTGGGTATAGAAATTGTATGGCTGGCCATGAATGCTCACAAAATTGGGGTTGGGGTGCAAGGGGGGTGAGGGCTCTGCCTGGAAGTGCAGGCTCTGGGGTGGGGATGAGGGGTTTGGGGTGCAGGAGGGTGCTCCATGCTGGGATCGAGGGGTTCAGAGGGCAGGAGGGGGCTCAGGGCTGGGGCATGGGGAACAGGGGGAGTTAGGACTCCAGTTGGGGTGCAGGCTCTGGGGTAGGGCTGGGATGCAGGAGGGTGCTCCAGGCTGGGATTGAGGGGTTTGGAGGGTGGGAAGGGAATCAGGGCTGGGGCAGGGGGTTGTGGCACTGGAATGGGTCAGGGGTGCAGACTCCAGGCAGCACTTACCTCAAGCGGCTCCCAGAAGTAGCGGCACGTCCCCTCTCCGGCTCCTACACGGAGGTGCAGCCAGGCGGCTCCGTGTGCTGCCCCGTCCGCAGGCACCGCCCCTGCAGCTCCTGGCCAATGGGACCTGCAGGGGTAGCTCCTACGC